TAAGTTTTTTAAAATCCAATGTGTGGATCACATAATATTTCAAAAATTTTAACTTTTGAGTATAGATGATCCGCACTCTATTTCAAAATTTCATTGCTAATAAAAGTCAAAACTAAAATCTGCCCTGGAATGACAATAACATTAAACAAATGTTTTATTAAATCAGTCAGCTAAATATTAAGCAGGCTTTAAATTTCCTGTGTTGTGTAAAGAGGTTAATATTATTAATAGAAAATGTTTGTAGAAAGGAGAAACAAAGGAACAAATTCTCATTTGCAGAATCTTTTAAAATTATTAAAATTTAGACCATTGGTTGCAACTTTTAAAAGTATTTTACTATATAGAAGATTTGATAGAAGGTTTTATTCACAATTTAAGCTTAATCTGGCAGTTTTAAGGGCAGTGAAAATAGATGTTTGAAATGTATTATTAGTTTTATTTGGTTATGAACATTTATGAGTTTGTTTACTCCATGTAGATGTAATGTGTGTGTTAAAAGATAGTTTTATACATAAAACAGTTTAAGAAAATGGTTAGATATTGAAGATGATCATTTCATAGGATCCTGGTTCAAAGATGTTTTCTGTTTTCATTGCAATTTCAATTTTTGTTGTAATTTCACCTTCCTTTGATTAAAAGTAAATTATTGAAATTTCCTTTTTTATTACATTAAATATTATTATAAATTAATTGATAATTTGGTATTCTCCTTTTATCAATAGGACATTCAACTATCAATTTTCCTCTCATAGCACCACGGTAAATGACTTCTATCAAGTCATTAAAATCTTGTTTTGAAGCAAATGTTCCAATAAATTTAGTATGATCTGATGTTCTAATTGAACAAAAAATAAAATAAAATAAGAAAAGAATAATAGAATAGAATAATCAATAATTATAATGATTATAATCAATTAATTAAATTACCCATAATCAACTTTAATATGTTGAGCATTAAAGAAAAATATTGTAGCAGGAATGAGTGATATATCAAAATATTTAACATAATCTGGTACATTATCTACATCAATTGTAAAAATTTTGGCTAATTTTGAAAGTTCTGGACTTGCCTTTGCTAACTATTTATTTTATTTATTTCATTTATTAAATATTTAATTAATTTTATAAAAAATTTTTTCAGTTAAAATTTATTAACCTACAATATGATCTAATTGTAAACATATAGAATCTTCTGCTTTACCAAATCTTAAAGCTAAAACTAAATCTTCTGTGTTGCGTATAACATCATTAATTTCATTTTTGGTGGAAAGTGATGGAAGTAAATAACTCATTATCAAATTTAAAAAAAAAATTCTGTATCACCAAATAAACATGGATTTAACTAAAATGCCCAACAGTTAGTTTTTTCATCTTTAAATAAATTAGTAAGCTTGTAAATTATTAGCAAAATTATTGAACGAGCTAGAATTTATGATGTAGAGAGGTTAGAGTTGGAGTGGATGTATATGTTAAAACCTTTTAAAGCCTATCCTATCATTTTAACACGGTCTTCATATTTTAAAGATAAAAATGGTACCATTTATTTGAAAAATTTATTTTTTCCAGATATATTTGAGGTATATTAATTAATTGGTGATTGCTATTATTTAAAATCATAGGTATTTTCACAATGGAGCTCTTAATGTAGATAATCTGGATGGTAAAGTTGGTGCCCGCAACGAAGAAGTTGCAGATACCAACTTTATTGAGTGGAAAATGAAAGAACTTAGATTTTAATGAATTAATGAAGATTTACAAAAAAAACCAAAATAACGGATGGATTCAACTGAATTTAGTTTACATCTAATTCATAAATTTCATCATAATCAATTTACTTCATACTCAATTAATTCATTAGTGATAACCGAGAACCATATTTTAAATCCGACGATTTTAAAGATATTGAAAAACCTGTGCTTCCGCAATTTTTGGAATTAATTTATACCATCAGGGCTGAAGTTATTTCTATACTTTCTCAAGATATTCTTCAAATGGAATTCCTTTCGTAGAACACTCTTAGCTTCAGGGATCGCAAATACTCATTTCAATCAGTAATTCCCTTTGGGGTTTCCTTTTTGTTGATTAATTTGTTCGATTAGCGAGTTAGGATTGTTGATTTCATTTTGTGTTTTTGACATTAATTATATTTTTATTCATTAACAATTTTGGATAAATGGTATCTTTAAATTAATCTCTTATGAATGGACGAATATTGATATTCTTATGCTTAAGATTCATAGAAATATGCGTCAATATTAGATTTTTCTAATCTTCTAGTTTTCCATAGCTTAAATTCATGAAATGGATCATTAACAATTTATTGAACTTTTACAATTTCAGGATTGGAAGCTTCAAAAAGAAAACGTTGAAGTTTTGAATATCTTCTGGTTTTTTTTAAAATAAATCTTCAAACTAAATTTAACATCAAGAGCCTTTTCCTGCATCATAGCATTGAATTTACTCAACCCAGTAGTACTAGATCTTTTACAATTTTTACAACATGATCCGCACAATCTGCACTTGTTTTTCTATAGAGTTTTTTTGATCAATCCAAAGTTACTATCTCATTTAAACTTTGTGTGCCAAGGAACTGTAAAATTTAATTCAATGCTTTCATAACAATCACAAATTACTAAAATCAAATAGTCATTTTTCCCACCAACATTATCCCAGGTGATACTTCTTACTTTTATTCATCAAAGACCATACTAAGTGTTCCATTAGGACCCTATTCATCTTCATCAAGAGCGTAGCTAGCTAATTTGTTTTGTTCACGTTCTGCAACTTTTGATGATAGCCGCACCATTTTTATATGACGCAACCTTTATGGCAAATAATTGCACTACTGATAATTTAACACTTTGTAGAATTACTTGTAGATTAATATAAACCTTATCGTTATTATCATTATTAGGATTCCAATCTTTCTTATAAATAAATAGGAAAATTCATTTGGTAGAAGTGTAAAAAAAATTTAATTGCTTTTTTGACTATTAGTAATAATAACATGTTGTAAAAATAGTTACTTTACATTAATAAATATCTAAGGTATGAATATGTTTAAGAAATGTTGCAAATATTATCATGGTTTTAAAAAAAGTTTCCTTTGAAGTCCTTCAACCCTCAACTACCGATCGTGTGCCTATGGTAACAGAACAGAGATCGTTTCACAACTTAGTATAAGTAAGAAATCTAAACTTTAAAAGGGTAAGTAATTATTATATGTATATGTATTAATATAAGCACACAGGGGTTATAGTAAAGTTGAAAGTTCAAATCTATTTGCAGGATATCCACTATTTAAGGCACCCATGGTATTTTTATGTTATTATGACCTGTATCTGTATATTTGAATTAAAAATAGGTACATTATCAAAAATTAGTAGAACATTTTCGATTCTTTTTACAGAATATGTGCTGCTGAAGATAGGATATTGATGTACCTTCTCTATCCATGTGTTACTTACCAGTCATAATTGCGTGGTATAACTAACATATCAACAAGTCTTGAGCATCAGCGGGATGAGACGGTGATTGTTCATTTACTGTTTCATCTAACTCTCATTATAAGTTAGCCATAGATAATGGAAGAATGAATTATTTTACAATTTCAACGATGATATTAGCAATGCCATTTGAAATATGAACTATATATTGCTATATGTATACTATATATATGTTGTGCTTGAAATCGGAATCGCTTCAATTCAAATCAATATAACCAAACGTGAGGTGCCTGATGACGTTAAGTATGAAATGCTTTAATTTTAGATAATAAAATTCGAGAGCAAGAAGAAGAACTTAACAATTTTAACACTCAAAGTTTAAAGGAAGCCAATTGAAGTCCATATATATAGGATCTATCTATATTAAATGGGTATTTTGTCGATCTACCAATCTAGCCGATAAATGGAACATGCTGGAAAAAAATAGAAATTTCGAGTTAAAAGGAATTGTAAAGACCGAGATTTGATTGATTGATTTTTTTTAATAAATTTCGATTGGATTAAAAAAAAATCTTTTCTATATATACTTATTTATTTTATTATTTTTTACTTTATAATCACGCAAATTTCAAAAAAAAAAAAAAAATTCCAAGAAAAATTTAATCTATCGATTTGAGATTATAATAATTAGAGTAAATACTATACGTTTTAAGCTTTCCAACTTTATATAGTTTTATAATTAATATTGTAATAATAAGGTCCCATTAAAATAAAAAAAAGTAAAAATGGTAAAAGATACTAAACTTTATGATATTCTTGAAGTTAGTCCAAGTGCTACAGAGTCTGAAATAAAAAAAGCTTATAGAAAGCTTGCTCTTAAATATCATCCAGATAAGGTACATCTCTCTTAATGACTAAATACTCTTAATTTATTAACTTTAATATTAACATATATATTTATTTTATTTGATTTAAAACAATTAAATTATAAAAGAATCCAAATGCTGGTGATAAATTTAAAGAAATTGGGCACGCTTTTGAGATTTTATCAGACAGTCAAAAACGTGATGTTTATGATAGATATGGTGAAGAAGGTTTATCAGGTGAAGGTGGTATGGGAATGTCAGCTGAAGATTTATTCACTAGTTTCTTTGGCGGCGGTATGTTTGGCGGTGGTAGGTCTGGTGGACGGCAATCAGGGCCTAGAAAAGGAAAAACTATGAAACATATTTTAAAGGTTTCTCTTGAAGATTTGTATTCGGGAAAAGAATCAAGATTAGCATTAAGCAAAAATGTTATATGTTCTAAATGTGAAGGAAAAGGCGGCAAAGAAGGTGCTGTTAAAAGCTGTCCAACATGTGATGGTACAGGTGTTAAGGTTACCTTGAGAACTTTAGGCCCAATGGTACAACAAATTCAACAAGCTTGCCCTCAGTGTCAAGGTGAAGGTGAAGTAATTAAAGATAAGGATAAATGTAAACAATGTAATGGTAAAAAAATTATCAATGAACGTGAAACACTTCAAGTTCATGTTGATAAGGGAATGAAGAATGGTCAAGAAATTACATTCGCTGGTAAAGCTGATCAGGCTCCTAATACTGAACCTGGCGATGTTGTAATCATACTGGAAGAAAAACCTCACGATCGTTTTACAAGAAGAGGTGATGACTTATTTTACACCGCAAAGATTGAATTATTAACCGCCTTAGCAGGTGGTCAATTTACTATTAAACATCTTGACGAAAGATTTCTTTTGGTTACAATTCACCCTGGCGAAGTAGTTAAACCTGGTATGTGCATGTGATGAGATAGGATGGGTTAAAACTTTATTAGATTGTGTTAATTTATCAACGACATGATAATAATAATAGTTGTTAATTAACAAATGTTGTAAATATTAGGTGAATTAAAATCAATTCCAGGTCAAGGTATGCCTTCACATCGTCACCATAACTATGGCTCTTTATTTGTTAAATTTGATATCGAATTTCCACCACCACATTGGACCGATGATGCAAACATTTTAAAACTCGAAAAAATCTTACCACCAAGACGACAAATTGAATCATCAGATGAAGTAAGAGATGAGGTAACATTAACAAGTTTGGATGACATTCAACAACAAACAGCAGAAAATCATATGACTAATGGTATACAAGATGAGGATGAAGAAGGTCATGGACCAAATGTTCAATGTGCTCAACAATAATCTTTATCTCAAAAATTGACGATGGGAATGAACAAGAAAAAAAAATTTTTTTTCTTTCGAGTGGAAGAAGATAAATACATATATAAGTTATGGTTATAATTATAGTTATAGTAGTAATTATTATTATTTGTGTGATTGCTTAATAAAAGGAAATAAAATTTTTTTTCCTTAACAAGGTTGTTATTATATTTAATAATCAAACATTACTCAAAACATTATATTATATACATTCATATTTACTTATGTATACAATTTTTTATTTTTATTTTTTATTTTAATATTCTAAATTGTATAGAAAAAAAACTTATGCTATCTATCAATTAAATTTAATTGTTGATTTTTTTAATCATGAATGCGTCTCCGTTAACTGTTTTAAGTGTTTAAAATCGTTTTAAAAAAGAAAACCATACTCTGTAAAATTTCAATTGTTCCAAATTTAAACCGTACGTCTAGTCTGATCTCTGAAGCTACCCCTCTCATTATCCACTCAAATGCAGCTCGACTAAACACCAATTCTTTATGTTTCTATTTTAACATCTGTGTGAGTGATATGAAATATCTAAATTCAAATTTTTTTAAAAAAATAGACTTATAAAAAGTTACATCGTCAGTATCTCGTCATAAATCTCATCTTCAACAATATTAACTTTGGTTTCTTCAATATTATAATTTTGATCAGCATATTTGTCATTCAACGAGACTGCAATTGGCTCATAAATTTACAAGACTGGAATGACAAATCGCAAATCAATAATCACGCACGACCACCATTTTTTAAAATTCCCCCTCTTAAATAATACTCACCCAAGTACTTCTTTAGAACTTAATTTTCCCTTTTTTTCTTTCAGTGGTCTCTATTTTTTAAAAATTAATCTATAAAATAAATAAATATATAATTTTTTTATTTAATATGAATGAATTTATTTTATTTAAAAATGAATCGTCCTTTCATCATGGGATAATTTTTATTAATTCTGGAGAAATGATTTGATAATAACAATTATAGTAATGATAATAAATCTTACCTTAAAGATTTTACAAATGTCTCAAAGGATTTTGGGCTGTAAAGGAAATATAATCGGCTCAATTAATAAAATGCCTCTAGGTGAATGTTTTTTTTTATTTCTTTCATATGTCCCCTGTGAATAATGAGATATTCATTTAAATAATTTTGATCTGTTAATTTGGTATTTTTGTCATGCTTTCGACAGATGTCCTTTAGTAAGACACTATAAAAATATCTTGCGTTTTTTTACATTTAATTAAAATTTTCAACCTTTAACAACCATTGTATTTACTATTTAATTCATTATTTAATTTTAACGACTAATTTCTTATTCTATTCCCTCCTAAAGTCATTCAAGAGCTCGTTTAATTTGTCAACTAGTTTCTTAATTATATTATTGATCCATTGTGCTGAGTTTCAAGTAATTCTTTAATAATAATGAGGGGGGATTTTTTTTGGTATTTATCGATGATCACCAAGTCGTTTTTTATTTAAAAATTTAACAAAATGTCCAATAGTTTTTCATCATTAGAAAATATTCAAACATTTAATAGCCTTATAACTTCTAGTGAATACAACTTACTATTAAAATATATTAGTAAACTTGTAAATGATTTAACGAAATTATTAAATGCAGAAATTAGAGTTAGAGTGGATAAGGGAAGATGTTAAAATTTTTAAAGTTCATTCCAACATTTTAAAAGCAAGATCCTTGTATTTAAAACAGATTTATCAAATTAAAAGATCTGATGATGATAGTATTATTTTATTTGAAAAAGAAAATATAAAAGTATTTGAAGTCATGTTATTGTAAAGATTTATTTAATTTTTGATTTGATTTATTTATTGAATTATCATAACAATTTATTTATTACTTGTTTATTTTAAAGATATCTTTACAATGAGTTAATGTAGATAATTTAAATACTGATGAAAAAAACAGAATGGACTCATCAAAATATAATTTATCTTTAGAAAATTTACCAAATAACGATCATATAAAAAAACCTAATGGTAAAGACATGAGCATAGGATATTGAAAAACCTATGCTCATGTCTTTATAATTTGGAATAAATGTTTGGGACTACAATATTTGATGGAGTGCAAGTCAAAGTAAAGGTTTGGAAAAGGATATTTCAGGATGGGATGAAGATGATTTTATTGTTGTTGATGTTGATAGATGGCAACCAAATTTCATGATTGAATAAGATCCAAGAGGGGTAGGAAATTTAAATTTAAAAGTGAAATTCTTAATTCTAATTGGATTAATAAAACATATTACTTACATTATACTATTAATAACAATTGCTAGATCTGTTTTTGAGAATAAATATCACACACTGTGGCTATAATGAGAATTAAAGAAACTGCTGAATTAGTTGGTGGATGGACACAACCCAGTTTGTTGAAATATTGAAATAAATCATCAAGAGATTGAAACAAATAAAAGTTCTATTTTAAAATGTTGATAATTTTAAGCAGAGTCAGAGATGTTAATTAAACATGCAATGCATTGTAGTGAAACAATATAAAGTTTTAAAACTATGGCTGTATTCACAAATTTAATTTTGGATAATACTGGACCTTAATCCTGTTCACAAATTCATGTTACATGAACAAATAAATATACACATAACAAGGCCAAAACTGCAGGTTCTGGTCAAGTAGCTTTATTTTCATTTTATTTAAAGGTTTTGAATTTGTCTCATTGCTATTTACAAGGTCAGTAATGTCCATTAATTTAACCAATCAAATTGCAAATCCTCATTATAATCCAAAATGTAGGATCAGAATTTTAAAGTAGGAACAATATAAATAATCTAATCCCCAACCTCTGGGGTAACCCAATCCAACCCAATCCAACCCAATTTGTGAATACAGCCTATGTAATAGGATTAATCATGAACCTTATTTCTATATATCATTATTTGATTATGGAAATTATTTAAATCTTGGAAATAAAAATAAAACAATTCATTTGATAGAAGGATATGAAGTGTACAATGATAGTAAAGAAAAATTATTTTTAAATATTTTTATTTTTATTTTTTTTGCAAAATAATGTATTTCTTAATAATGTATATTTTATAATATATGATATATAACAAATAAAATCAAAACAACAATAACAAAGAATATTTATATATTTATCACACAAGGACCAAGGTTAAATCTTTTTAATTTTTTACAAACTTTGCAAGGAAAGGTCCAATAGTTAAATCATCTAATTCATCAGAAACTTGTTGACAAATTGGAATAATCAAATTATGAATACTCTCAATTTGTTCTCGAATCAATTTGTTTTGATCATTTATTAGCTTTAGATTATTTTTTCTGGTATCTATTTCTCTTCTTGATTTATCTAATTCACAATTCACTTCATGACATTTCTTTGTTGCACGCCTTTCCAATCTAACCAATGATTGTAATTCTTTTTCTTGATCTAAAATTTAATTGCAATTATTATATGCATGTTAATTGATTTTACATAGTAATTAATAGTGAACAGTTTGTTTTTACCATCATGATAACGATTAAAAGGTTCTGAAAATATTTGAAATGGAACATCCAATTTCTTAAGCTGATGATCTTTTGTGGGTAAAAAAATTAGTTTAGTACTCATTTGTCTTGCAAAAATTAGAGAAAAAGAAAACATCTTTACTTGGAGCTGGATTGTTGAAAGGACCTCCTATCATTGGACTTTGAGTTAAAAACTAAAATTAAAATAAAATAGCTCAAATCATTATATATATATATATATATATATATATATATAAATATAATTTTTATTTACATTGTAACGACTTGTTGTGTTATTGGCAATACTGCCATTGCTACGATTAGGATTATTATTAGTATGACCATTGACGATAACCCCATTGCCATTTCTGGACCTTAATGCGCGTCTATTTGACGTCGGTGATCGAGAACTATTTCCTTCTATATATATATATAGATTACACGTTGTTAAAAATTTAATGTAATGTATAAACATATTAATTATAATTGACCATTATCATAATCATAATTATTCTCTTCTCGTTTCTCCTCTTTTCCTTCAGCTTCTTCATCAACTTCCATAGAAGAAGATTCTGCACTAGTATCTTCGCGTTCTTCTATTACATCGCCGTTTGGAATGTAGTCCTCATCATCATCAGACTCGTCAGAACAATCTGTATTCATATTTAACCAAAAATCTTTGCCTGGGCTTCTCATATTTATTTTTTTTTGCTTTAGTAATATTATACCTTTTTTCAAACTAAATAAAAAACAAAGGAGTAGGTTGATTTATGAAGGGAAAGTATACAGTAAGTAGTAGGACTTATTATTATCTGTAATAGTGATTTCATTCGCAGATCATTATTAATCGACTAGCCGCGGCTAGATTTGATTTTAGTGACCAAGAATTCAAAAATATGAAATTGTTATATAATGATAATATGAATATGCAATGCCTGGACAAAATTATCAGATAGAAGATGAGAATTGGGACCGAGAAAAAAAGTTAAATTTAACAAAAGAAAACTAGCAGTCAAACCTCGTTATAACGGATTTTTGTTATACCGAACAACTATTTTTTTTTAATTAAATAACTTGTTATTCTGTATAACGAACATTTATTAAAAAATTATATATATATAACTAGTCGCGTTATACCGACTTTTTGATAGAGAATGTTCAAGTTTGTATTTTTATAATACATTCATTTTCCTTTTTCTACTTTTACAAGACTGCATTAGTGTTCCATGTAATTTTATTTGATCTTTTTGTTTTCCTTTTACTATTACAAGACATTCATCTGCAATTGCTCATTCGCCATATTTTATCCAAGATACTCTTTAAAGGTTTCAAATTAGAATGATAGTTAATAAAATAAAATAATTATCCTATTATTAACATGTGGACGTTGCTTTTAATAACGATTTATTAAACACTTTTGTCAATTAAATGAATGCCATTGATTTAATTACAAAAATAGAGAAATGGAAAAAG